CTTTTTTGATCATCAAATGCATGTATGCGAAAGATATGCTTCGGTCTTATCACACATTTCAACTACGTTTCTCTCGTCTGAAGGAACAAATCTATGATACTTTTGTGAAGATTTGTGGGTTGTTTTAGTCACATTATAGCTACGAGGCCTGTTAAGTGAAGATCCAAACATACTGCTTTGACCGATGACGGCGGATATTCCACTTGACATGCCATTCAACTCGTTTGAGGGCAGCTCCGCAACCATCGAGCGCCACTGCTTCTGGTGATCCGCGACCGCCATCGACAACTAAAAGGCATCAAGATTATTTTAGTCACCAGAAATCAAGTCGGAACAATGACCAATGGCATTATCTGCCCACTCATTGTGGAAAAGTAACGTCAAATAATGCATTACAGTTGCGTAAGACATTGTTGTGATGAAGATTGAATGTTGATTTTTTGTGGTATTCAGAGGCGATGTGGTAAACTCAGACAACAGTGGTTCAAGGCTTACCTCCTTTATGAGTTTGCTGATGAGGTCACTGCTTGTACCGTCAGGGCGCATTTGGTCTAGCTAAAAACAGTGAACATGGGTAATTCTTAAGGAATCTAATGAATTAAAAGAGAACAAATTTGGCCCCCATTCAGCCTTTCACAAACGCAGAATAGGAAGCACGTACAAGGGTCAGGAGTCGAGCTATCTTATCTTGGTAGGCCACGTTTTCATAGCGCAGAACATTGACCATCGCCTTGTACTTTTCAAGTTCACTCTACAATCACATGACAAATTTTCACCATTCCATACGGGAATGTGACACTCAAGGGTCTGACAAACTTTGTTTAAAAAGCTACAAAAGTATCCACTGTACTCTACATCTTACTTCTCCAAAATCGCATATTGGCTCGCTGTTAATTTCACGAAACCGACCTTTAACTGAATGATTTCCTCCTCCAGACGGAAGTGCTTGAGGTGAGGTTTCAGCACGAGGAAGAGCCGGAACCAGGGGTCGAAGTAGAGAGCTGCGTTCTTCTGAATAATTCGGACAGCTTCGTCCTCCCTCTTAATTAGGAAACATACACAACATAAGAATATGCATCTTCCAAATCCATTGAAAACAAAATTTCCATCCACCATGCATGGTTAATAAGATGGACTATGAAAGCACATGTTTCACTGACTTACAACTGCCTACAATGCGATAGAAAGATTTGCATTGCAAATTATACATCTTTTTGAGAATAGACAACTGGATGCAAACACTGTGCGGCAGTCGGGTGTCATCAGGCAAAATCCCTGCGGACCCTTAGAGCTGCAGGGCCAGCACTTGTTCGCCAGTGTTGGAGCTACGTGTGGTAGACTACCACAAAGATGTTGGCATGTAGGGGAAGTTGTTAGTCGGGTAAAATATTTGAATCTGCATAGGGAGGACCCACTTTGGGAGGAGAGCGCAAAAAGAGGTATTAATTAATTCGAGGCAGGCTTCAGGAAGAAACTAATGCATTATATTTGCGACGCCCATAGGTGTCATGTCTCCAATGTTAAGTCCTCTCATCATGAACGATTAAACTAGTCTTAAGATTTTCACGGATTTTCTCTAATTAATATTGAAGTACTTCAGCCGATTAATAAAACCGCGCAACGACTCACTTAAGAGCTAGATGTGAAACCCTTTAAGCAATTCAAAACATTTGGTCGGTAAGTCCTGCTTTTCCCATCGCATATCTGATCACCTTTGAGTCTCCTCACTAATGACAAGTGGTTGATTTACTAGTAGCCCAAAAAAAACACGCCACTCAGGAACAATCATCATGAGAAACATCCTGCCTGGAGTTTTTGACTAGCATTTGGCTTTCCTTCGCCTCGGTGAGCAACACGTCAAGCTTGCATTGGCACCCTCAAGTGGCTCCTCAGTATCGATACACACCACACCACCCATAAAGACAGACGCAATTGACGATTCGCTTCACTACAATCCTGAGCTCTGACAAGGGCATCTTCTGTGTTCCTCCCATGTATTCACTCAATTAAGGATGCGTTTCTACGTGTCTTTGGAGTTTTCAAAACTGTGTACTACGAATAGAAGAGAATTCTTTACAGCATCCAGAAGAAGTGAATTTACTTGGGTGGGTGCCAAACATCACATACTGCCAACTTTGCAGTTGATGCTGAGTGCATTTTAAATGAGCCCCCATTTTCAATGATGACGTTCCCCGATTTCTTGTTTGTACTTTTTTGAGATACCTATCACATCTTTTTTAATTTGAAAGAAATATGGTAAGGCGTTTAGGGCGTATTTCGACTAGAAGGCTTTGATGACAAATTCCCCTACCGCAAGCCTTTTCCACAGCATAGCTAATTCAGAAAACCTTACACAGCATCGCAACTAGAATAAGGTAACGAGTCCTTTAAAATACGATTAAAACTTGAGCTACCACTAGAAAGACAGAACTAGAATATAAATGCTGTTTGAAAATAGGTAAAAGCGAGAGCTCGCATTAACGCAGGCGAACTCCTGGAAGCTAGATCAAATTTCGGATTTAAATTAACCGCTAATTATCGAAGTTACATGACAAAGTAATCCGGCACTGCTGTTGTTCTCACGATTAAAATTGACTCCCATTCAATCCTGCGTCATTGCTGAGGGCATATAAGTTAAAAAGCTGTACTGCTTTGCGGTTTTTGATGCATGATTGACGTTCCAAGTTTTGTATGACCTGTCAGGGGCAAACTCTTCCGCGTACGTGGAGAGAGTGACCTGTTAGTGCTGTCTCCTATCTCCATCAGCATGGCGACAAATGTGCGTTGAACAATTTCATGCAAATGCTTTTCTTAATTATACATTTGGTGAGCACTAATGTGCCTGCATTGTTCATGCGGTAAATCTTTTGATTGTATTCCGCACCGGAGTTTCATGTGCTGTGATGTGACATAGTGTGACCTGTCATAGAGTGATGACTCAGCTTCTTTGTGTAATCGCACGATACGCATAACAGAGTTGTAAATAAGGTCATTTATGCGACAAACTTAGGTCTCCAAAACCCCCTTTAGTCATCCTTTTGTGTTGTTGTTGAAGCTTCCCCCAACACTCACGCATTGGTATGCCATGACTACATCAATCGGGCTCCAGTGTTATCCAGCACCACCGCACTCTGGTCTCTACCCTTTTGACTTTTTACAATTTCTGCATCCCATTTTAGAGTTCTGTTACGACTTTCAGAGGCAAGCATCCAACTATTCATTTCATTATATCGCTAATGTTGAGGTATTATCGCACACTCCAATAAAAGTAAGAATTATCTTCCTTATTTAACCATGAATTCGCCTTTTTTGTCAGTGAATGTGAGACACCACCACTTACAAAACGCTTTTTGGCGAGGTAGGCCCGACACTGCGCCTGCAAGCGTACCAGCGTGTCCTCTGGGAAGCCCGCTGCGTCTGCGTTGGGGTCGTAGTGGAAAGTGATCTGCAACCGCGAAAGCAAGTCAAAATTATTAGACTTGAGTTCACACTTAGAAGTGCTTCCGTCCTTAACCATGCAACTGCTGAAATGTAAGCGTTATTATTAGTAAATAATAATTTGGGTATTTAAGCTGAAGAAATGTGATTCAAAGCTCCCACATCTGTCGTCGGAATGATTCATTTTTAGTTTTATGAATGTCAAAAATTTTTTCTTGCCCATTTTACGTTTCAGAGAGCTTTTTGCGTCCGTACATACAGTTATACTAAATCTGCTCTGGCATGAGACACGGTGCTAACTTTTGTTAATAGAAAAACGAAGAGTCCATCATAGCCCCCTAGCTTGCACCCAATTTCTAGGAATAAAGTGAATACCCACGTATCTGTTCGCGCAAAGATATCATCATGGCATAACTGGGTCTCTTTATGCCTTTGGCGTGGATACTACGCCTCCCTGTTATCCTCTCCTACCCCAGTTTTGGAGATTGGAGGATTGAAGAATTTCTGGTATGATTTGAATACCGAATAGTACCGAGACTAAGGTGGTTGGTGTGCAGAGCGACTTGGAGAGAACAGTGTGCTTTTACGTATTCAAGCAAGCGCTCTGAGTCATGGAATTAGCATAAATGTAAAGCAGGGACAGTCTACAGGCCACAGGTGGAATGTCATGTGCGCCTCAGTGTGAATTGCACAAGAACAAGAGGAAGGATAGGAGGCAGAAGCAGAAGTGGCGAATTCAAAAATTGAGGTTCTCAAAAGTTGTACAGCTATTATAAGTGACGCTGACCATATGGTCCAGAGCAGCTTTCGTCCACTACCCCAGTCCAAGGCGGTTAAGTTGTGCTGCAAATTTACTCCGCCTTACCCCGAGTTGTCAAATAATAAGTAGTAATGTGTTGTGTTTTGGATTCAAGTTCAACGATTTCGGTTCCTACCATCTAACAGACAAGTGAGGAATAGGGATCCATACTATGTATTGCCTTGAGATAATAATTTGCTGTTACTTCTGCACTTTCGTACTTGGAAGAAATTACTAGAATACTGGTCATGTCACAAAGGCGAAAATTCAGACAATCCACAAGAGTCCAAAAGTGCAACACATGACATGACATTATTCTTACTGATCAAGTTCACAAAAATTCGCGTTAGCAACTGTGAGAATTTAATCCCATTTTGTTTCTTTCTTGTACAAAAAACCTATTTGGACTCGTGAAAATATAAAATCTGCCTACATGTAAAAGTGAAAAGACTTTACTCGGGTAGGGTTGCGAGTATTGTGAATTAGAGCTTTCAATGAGTAATTCTTCACCTCCCACTTTCCAACTGCCAGTTTGCAGTCGTGGGCGTTTGAAGTCGCGTGATCATGTAGCCGCCCCTCTCCGTGCATGCGATGGCATCCACCCTCTCCAAAGTAGATTTGTCATCCAGAGTGAGCAATTTTCATTGCTCACCCATCACAAGCGAAGTGGACACACCTCAACATGGATTTATGGGTTTTTTATCACGCACAAAATAATGCCACTACATACATTTAGAAATTAACTTGTTGCCTTTGAACTTCTG